GTTTGAGAAGGGATGTACCATCTGACACGTTTGACAAGGGATGTACATGTATCACTGAAATTGATTTCAAACTATTGCTATTTGTTTGGCAGGTAATTTGCAGTACTTCTTCAGTCTTGGAAATTAAACAATGAGTTCTAAACATTAGAAATCAAATGTCAGACGTAACAGGGACGGGAAAAAACCTGGACCCCAAATTAATACAATGACCCAAATCAGTTTGGGGTTTTCATTCATCCTTGTGATTACCAAATGAGTTTGTAAAGGTTGGCAGCTCTGCATATTGAAAATGTTCTACAAAATTTAATTAGTGGTGTTCACTGAAGATGGAGCTTCCTGACTTCTCTTATCATTAATTAATCAGCGCTTTGCTCAAGATGTGATATTGAGTAAACCATTATAGCTTTCTGTGGCTTCCAGCTTTGTAGTGTTTGCCCTAAACCTTCAAGCAGTGAAATTGTTTCAAGAAACACTGTTCCTTAATGAATTCTGCATCTGTGTCGATTTGTAACAGCTGTGGTTTGCCATTTTTTTCTTTTTTATTTTGTCCACCCTCCTGCAAATGTTTAAACATCTTTTTTCCATCGTCGATGCCACTTGTGAAATAGTCCAATTATCTGCAGTCGTGGAAAATGTGTTGGCTGTCATCTGAAGATGAAGTTCAAACCTCTATGTCATTCCTAATCAGTTCTGTCATCAGTAAAGTCCTTTAGCCTAAGAACTTTGTGCATGTGCAGACCATGTTGTGTTATAACTACATGTAAAATGGGCATGACGTCTTGATGACGTAATCATGGAATTTCGTTTGTGGTATTTTACCATTGGGCAATTCCACAGTGTCGGGCGTACCGTATACATTTTAGACACTTCAACAGAGTGAATTATGAGATGTAATCCTCAAGCAGATTTTCATTTTGATAGAAGGCGTCAAGTAGTTGGTACATTGATTACCCACTCAGCATTATTACCCATGTAGAAACTGATCCAAAACACCATGGTATTGACAAAAATATACATACATGTACATGTACACTATCAGTGCTCTCAATTTATCTTATTTCCGAGCTGTCCGTAACTGGATAAGCCTATCTTTGTCAGGGCAAGCAGATTCAGTTCTGAATGAACACAGAAAAATGCATGGTCATTCCCCCTGGATGCAGCGTTCCCAGTTAAAAAATGACATGCTGCTCCAGTTCCTTACGCCATGCGTTGGTTGACGCTTTCCATGGGATGCAGAGGCTATGCTTACGTCACCGAGAGTATGCGGCGGCACACACTGCGCAAGTGTTCCTCGAAGTGGTCACCAAGGCAATGCTTGCTCTCCAATGTACAGTTTGCCACAGCAACAACATGTACCGGGTAATGCAATAAACTACATTACTGGTAATGCATGTGTGACATGTACCGTACATGTACATCGTATGATCCCGCGTACTCTGTAGGTAAATGGTAGGACCTTATTTACATGTATGCAAATGAGGTGTACAGATGATTAGTAGTTTCTGTACTTTGTACAGGCATTGCACTGCCAGCAATGCCTGGTTTTGGTGGTGTCGGACATGTAGGGTATCGGACGTACCGGTACACATCCATGACGTCCAACGCCATAGTTTTAAAGAGTTTTAATTGGGGGAGTTATGCTGATACATGTATGTAGAAAGAGGGCACTTTTTGTGTTTTGTTTTGTCAATTTGGCACACTTGTCCCAAAGGATGTATTGTGAAAATAAAAACTATTAAATCAAATTGGTGTCAGATGTACATGTTCATGTGTATACATGTACATACGAAAGTTTTCTAAAATACGAAAGTTTTCTAAAATGATACATGTACATTACATGAAATTTCAAAAAGAAAATAGAAATTCATTTCTGTTATTGATTTCTTACTGGAGCACTCTTCAAACTGTTACAAAACTCTAACAAGGCTACAAAAAAGAAAGATTTTCAGTGAGGAAAGTTTTACCAAATTTCTCAGAATTTAAAACTAAGTTTTCAGAGGAAAATAAAAGCCGAATTCTTGAATGTTGTTAAAACTGATGTACAGTTTGTTTCAAGAAAGCATACACCTCAACCACTTCCTGTTGTTATATCAAAAATTTGCTTTGTAAGTACATGTATGGATTGAAGATAACAACTTACACATGTACATGTATCTACATGTATGTCAGTATTCAGTTTTTGTTGATTTTTTTGGGGAGTATTTATGAATTTCAAAATTTTTGTATACATGTAATATCTAAGTGTACGTGGACTTGAGAAACCAAGATATTTTCAAAATTCTCTGTCTGTCTCTGCAAGTCTGTCACATTTGCATGCATGCCCAACTGTATTAATTTCTGAGTTTTCAAAGCCCTCAAAAACCTAATTTTTCTTTTCTTTGCAAGAAAAATGAAAATCTGGAATATGTCTGCTCACATTGCATACCAGCTGGGAAGTTTGCTTAGTCCTGGACAAACGTCTGCATACCCGGTACATGTACAGTACCGGTAGGTCCCCTGAGCCCTGGGTAATCTTAAAAAATGTTAAACAATTACAAAATGCAGCACACCTGACGGGATAAAAATTCAAGTCAGAAAAACTTGCCATAAAATCAGCGCTGTAAATGTAATTTAAAGGACTTGTGCTGAAGATGGATAAATCTGACTGAAAAGGAAGGAAAACGTAGTTCCTGCCCATTACCGGTACCTGTGCATGAACCTGTACGGGATAAAAGGCACTGACATAACTGATGCATACAGTTCCTGTCATCCCAATCACTCAGTACCAGCTTATATGGATTACCGTGGGCTACATGTGTAGCCATGATGTCTGTGCGCTGGCTCACATCGCTTGGTCACCGCAAATGAATCAAAATTGAAGATAAGCTCACAGGAAGAAAGATCTCTTACAATACATCGACTGAGGTAGCAGAAATCGTCCTTAAAAAAATTTTGATACTTTTTTTTTCCAGCCTTATTTTTGCTGTGACCTGACATGTATTGCCAGTGTTTAGTGGCTTACATGTACATTCCTTGCATTAATCTCAGCATAATGTGTTCTGTTGACATATACATGTACATGTACATTGTATGTACAAGTACATGTACAGGTATATTGTATTATATCAAACTAATTTTGCAACAGAGATACATGTACCAGTATACGAGGATTACATTTTAAAAGTTGCACCATTTTTGTACAAAGCTTGCATAAAATTGAATATTGCATATTTGTGACAATTTCGTGCCGATGGTAAATTTTGATATTGGCACAACCTCAATTGCAACTGGGGACTGGTTCATGATGTGATATCTACTGCCTTGTTTTCTGTTAAGAAATGACACTGATGTACATGTACTGGTACGTGCACTGTACACGTATGCATGTTGATAAAAAGGAAGTATTTAACTGTTTCGTTCCTGTTGGAATAACTGAAGGGTCTGTTTTTGCTAATCCAAACTCTCGTCCCTCCCATATAACCCAAATCAGATTTACTTACCAGTTTATGTAATGTACAAGTACCATACCTTGTAAAAATTAAAAGAACATACATACATGTACGTGCCTAGGCAAACTGAATGCAACTCAAGTTTCAGCTTGATGTTTTTCTGTTGTAACCTTTCAAAGTCTGGGGGGCAGGTCACTTTTTGTTGCCCCCAAATTGCTGGTTTAGATGTATTTGGGTTGCATCTTTGAAGGTGTGTACACAATTACATGTACATTCTGTAGTGTTTGTGCTTTTGAAAGATCCACAGAGGGGCAGCAAAGGCTACAGGGAAACCTGTTTCTTGTGTACATGAAAAAAGAAATAATAGCGTGATTGTTTCTTTGATTCTCTTCCAGGTTGATGAGAGACACCGCCTTAGTTTGATGCCAGCAGGATGGATGCCGTCTCCACTTTGAACAAGATTTCTTGGACTTGTCCAAAGAGGTAAGATTTTTCATTTTGGTTTTATTTGGGCCAGTTTCAAGACGTTTTGTTCGCTTCGGTGCATGCTTCTCACTCCTTACTCTACTCTTCATGTCACCCCGGGTGGGATTCGAACCAGGTTCCAGTTGGAAGGTGAGGTGGTTACCTTCAGCAAGCTGGCTTCCTGAAGTTCATTTACTATTCGAATTCCTAAAATTGAATCTCCAGTTTTAGTAAATACTTGTATAAAAAACACTGCTACCAGTATACCAAACTGTCACGTCTACCAAGTGTGCCCCTTGACTCTTGAATTTTCCAAGTGCTTTTACTGAATACTGAAAATATGCTTCAAAAAAGGAAATTTTATCGGTAGCTTGAGAGTTAACAAAAATCCTACAGAGGAACAACTGCCAACACACAGCACAGTATCCTCTGTACAATGTTTATACATAGTCGGTATGCACGTACATGTACGTACATGTACATTTGTAGGTGTGCAGTAGCCATGTACATGTAAACTGGTACCTGAGTACATGCAATATTGGCGACTCTTACGTAGAAAGTCTTCCTTTTTGTCATTGCTGCACAAAATTACTCAAAACTAAATGTTCACAGACAGCCTTGTGTCTGTGACCTACTTTAGTTGTGTACATACATGTACATGTACATGCATACCTCCCAGAAATCCTTATTAAATATTTTGTCGGCGTTGATTTGTGTTCAACACTTGCCCGAGCTGACATTTCTTACATTGGTGACTGCAGACTGGTTTCCAGCCCATCTACATGTATTTTAGTCCCAATAGCAGCAGAAACCAATGTAACTGTATTGTGTTTCGCATCATACTTTTTCAAAAATGATTTAGGGAAAACTTGTTCTCACATTGTTACTGGACTTCCAGTGAAACCTACTCAAAACTTACATGTACATGTATGTGACAGAAAAATATACAACGAACAAAATGCAACAAGTTTGGTGTTACATATATTTATTTTCAACTTGTTTGGACATATTTATGAAGAGGGATGTCACCCATTTAAGTGGACCAGAGCTGAGGAACAGGTGCATCAATGACTGAAAATCCCCATGACTGAAAAACAGATACCAACATGTTGTGCGGACCCATGTTGTGTTCAGTAAAGCAGAGTGTAGTGAGAGTTTTTCTCCCTTTGAGCATGTCGTAAAAACCCAAAATAACCATACAAAAGATTTAACAAATTCATGTACATGTGTATGTGTATAGTAGGTGTACATGTACAGCCAACACAGCTCAAACTCTGTCGTACATCTATTAGGCTCATTCCAGGATGTTGCATGACAAAGTGCGACACTCACTCTTCCCCCACCCACTATCTTCGTGTCTTAAATCTCCATTTATTTTGTCACCAAAAAAAACCTGGTTTTACTTAACCGGAAAACCACGTTCTTGTGCTTTGTGCTGCCAAAAAAGTTTCCACAAATATGAACAAAATGGTTCACCGATCTGTTTAGACTGTAGAGAAATAATCAGGTGTTGGCCAACTTTGCATAATGACCATTTGGACTGTTCTTGTGACCACCCTTTAATGGAGTATTTGTGAATTTCTCTTCCCATTTCTCAGTCTCATTTCTGTAATCAGCAAAACTCACCAGAATGTATTCGATTTCAAAAAGGATGTAGCAGGTACCAGTACATGTACAGTACATGTACATGTTTATTGGTAATTGGAGGGATTAGGGGTCCATTTTTTTTTGTGTTCCTGTCCCATCTGAGTCTGACATCTGATTTTGTAAGTTCAGAACACATTTTCTAATTTCCAAGAGTGATGAATTTAATGCAAATTACCTGCCAAACAAATAGTAACAGTTTGAAATCAATTCTGGTAATGCTTCCATGTCAAATAACAAAGGTCAGATGTAACAGGGACACAAAAGTTTCACGCTTTTAGACCCCTAATTTCTGGAATTACCTACATACATACTGGTAATTATTTCTATGGAAGGCTTCAATTATGGAAATGTGGGAAGAGTTCTGTTCTCTCTCCACTTTTTGTTTCTGTAATTCTTCTCACTCAAAGGTGAATTGTGCCTTTTGGCTTGCTTTCAGAAATTGGCTTGTTTTATTTCATTGGCCCAAAGAAGTTGAAAGGACATGGAAACTGATTTTGGGTATGCTTCGGCCCTTTATCGCCAAGCATTTATTGCAGCCACAACTTGAAAGCAGCAGATGCCAAATTTTATAAATGGGCCTCAGATCACCTTCAATCATGCAGATATAAAGGCAGCAGTATTTGCTATTAAAACATTAGCATTAGTTTGGTACACGGTATGGAAAAGAGGTCGGTAGTCCCAATGTGGACACATCAGGGCGAGTGCGCGTCATAGCTGTGTCCTGAGATATTCTGGCTCCCCGGGTGCCCAGCCATGTGAGGATTCCAAGGGATGGTACGTGAAGCGTGCGTTCTGCCGCATGGAAGGCGATACTATCCCCCACAACCAGGTGCACATTGTAGATGTACATGTACCTGCAGACAACAAAAAGGAACAGGAACAAATTCCTACTGGAAGGGGATTCAGTCAGTCTTGGGGGGGGAGGGGCCAAGTCAGGTCGAATGTACCTACATGTACATGTATTAAAAGCAGCAGACCTCCAATGCCCCAGAGACGGAATCTGTGGCAGTGGGGTGCCATTAATGGTCACAGTTGTACCGGTAGCTGCACCTATGGGGAAACTGGGGGTATTAAATCCTTGGGTTGAGATTCCCAAGGCCACAAGGGATCTGGACAACATACGGGTACTGTACAGCGGAATTGGTATAAAGTAAACTCCGGCTAAGTCGGCACTCTTGGGACTCAAGAAATTATGACGACTTACACGACGGCCGACTTGTGTTGTAAGTCGTCATTTTGCCAACTTACACGTACACATGTATTGCCTGTATACATTATGATTCCTTGCACTAATTCAATGGCTTTGATTTACCCTGGTTTTTTTGTACCTCCATGTCGATCCCAGCAAATTTCTTTTCTATTATTATCCTCATGGGCTGCAAATTCGATAATTGATCATGTGCCCCTAAGGACGAAGCAAGGACGGCAAGCCACTTGCATATATATCACAGTGCAGTACGTATGTACATATATGTGATACAGTTACGGTACAGAACCATACCCTCATCCACACACATGCATTGGTTAAGTTCGTTCAATATAGTCTGGATACCCGACCCGATGATTCCGACTACCCCGGGAATCATTATCAAGGGTCTTCAGGGAATCTTTGGGCAGGGAAGCAGACTATGTTCAATAAGGCGACCCCCAAAATGGACAGAGTGCATGCGTGTAGCACTAGAGGGGTTACCGGTATTGATGTTCATGTACTCACATGCTGGCTGTGCGCGCACGGTTTTGTCACTTGACACTTCTTGGCAACTGCGGCGAAGGACACCGATACCAAAGCACAATTTTTTTTAATGCCGACTTACACGAAGGAATTTTTGTGGTTTTGTGGAAAAGTACCGAGAAAAACATGCCAACTTAATATGAAATGACGACCTACACGTGTAAATGCCAACTTAGAAATGAAATTTTCAATGGTAATGCATTACAGACGATCAGGACTTCTGTCAAACGGCCGACTTGGACGATATGACGGGTTATGCGATGCCGACTTAGAGTTTACTGTATGTACTGTACATGGTCAGTTGGATGTCTTTACTGTGAAGGAAAAGGGGCCCTGAAGAGAGGGGCTGGAAACGCGGGCTACGGGACTAATGCTGAGCGGTTGCTGTGGCTTACATGTAAGCTGCTTACATGTTCTGGAGGGCCTTTGACCAAAACATATTGCAGACAGTTAAAATCTTGGAAGTGTCGCAAGATCTGTCAGGGCCAGTGAATTCCCCAACACGTAGGCAGCCAAAGAAGGCTAGCGAGAACGCTGCACAGAACAGATTGGCTTCAAGGTCAGAGGAGGTGATGGCTGGTATAATGTCGCATAATTTGGCGAGCAGATCGGTAGTGATTGGGCGTTTGGAATCCGGGCGAGGCCCGAGCCGGCGATAGCCTTCTTTCATTTTTGGATGAGAACGGAAAGAGTAGGGTCTGGCCAACTATTGATTTTGATTACTTTTGATTGGTTTTGATTACTTGAGAAAGACGACCCGAAAAGGTGATGTTTTTGTGCACTTAGATCTTCCAAAGAAATTCCGGGACCTCCATCCCTTAGGGGGCAGCCAGTGGAGCCAGAAGTCAGAATCTGTGCATCTGTGAACAAGAGAGCACATCTGCTATGTTATTGTGGGTTCCTGGGATATGTGGGGCTTTGAACTGGACATTGACTCATAAACACTGCAAAACAAAGAATCTAACTAATCTCATTACTCGAGGGCACTTAGAGGACGGCTTAACACTCTCTTTGCCGACAGACTTTTTCCTCACAAGCGAGGGCTGCTACGACGGGGAAAAACTCCAACCAGGCAATGGAAAGTTTAGAGTCATGTACATGTACACCGTATGAATTGGGGCCACGTACCACGGAACCACCTGCCCTGGAAGAACCCCCAAAACCTGTTCCCCTGCTAGCATCGGTAAAGAGTTGAAGATATTCATTAATACTGATCAGGGAATATGGTGGTGCCATTGAAATTCTGGAGGAAGACCTGCCATGTACTGTAAGCAGGTCTTCCTTGGCTCCCAAGGTGAGTTTGATTCTGTGCCACGGTTGCTTTGTCCCCGATGTGGTGTCGATAAGTCTCCTGAGGAAGGCTCGCCCAGGCACACAAAGAATAGTGGTCCAATGAGTGATTGAATGGTTGTAAGAGATAGTTTGGGTGCACGCAGTGCCTCTGCAATTTAAGGCAGTGCGAAATAATGAGGCAGGCTGAAGACCCTTTCTTTTCTGGACTACCCACCATGAAAAAATCATCCACATAGTGGCAAAGATGAGCGGATCCTGACTGCTTGCGCTCAGCCCATTCAATATACTGTATGTGGAGAAGTTTTCAAAATAGGCGGGGGCACATGCTGCTCCCATGGGCAATGAA